CCAAAAAAATTATATATAGGGCAAATGGGGCAAAATGTTAACAACTGGAGAATCCGAGTAAAGGCCATATGGGAGTTATTGTACTATATCTGCAACTTTTCTGTAAATTTTAAATTATTTCTGAGTAAGAAGCTAAAACAATTTTGATGAAAAATTAGTAAGATGACCCAAAGTGCTCAAAGAAATTTAATTTTGAAAAACAAAAAATTAGGGATGCCTGGTGGCTCAGTCGGTTGACCGTCTGCCTTTGGCTCGGGTCATGATCCCAGGGTCCTGGGATAGAGTCCCGTATCGGGCTCCTTGCTTGGTGGACAGCCTGCTTCTCCCTCTACCTGCTCTGCCTGCCACTCCCCCTGCTTGTGCTCTCTCTCTCTGACAAAAAAATAAATAAAATCTTTAAAAGAAAAAAATTTAAAAAGACACTTCCTCTAAAGGTAGGAGGCTTGGGGTTTCTTACACTGTTGTATTTCCCAGGGATTTTGGCAATAATTCTAAAAGTAGAGAAACCTTGCCTTTGTCATCTACATGGGCACCCCTGGCCCTGCTCAGAGACTAGAAACACAGCCAGGCATATGATTTGAGGAGTGCCACAAAGGCCTGCTTGCTTCACATAGCTCCCCCATAGTTCTGCCCTGGGACTGCTAATTCCTCTTGGTAGATAAATGAATTTTTATCTTTTTCAAATCTTCTGCATCTGAAATTTCACTCTTAGAGCCAATTATTTGAATTAGAAAAAAATCTAAGTTTTGTCAAATTGATTATCAAAGGCCATTATTAAGTGACCATCAGGGCGCCTGGGTGGCTCAGATGGTTAAGCGTCTGCCTTCGGCTCAGGTCATAATCTCAGGGTCCTGGGATCGAGTTCCGCATCGGGCTCCCTGCTCCTTAGGGGCCTGCTTCTCCCTCTGCCTCTCTCTCTCTCTCTCTGTCTCTCATGAATAAATAAATAAAATCTTTAAAAAAATAAATAAATAAAATAAAAGTGATCATCACCTGCAAATGTGAGTATGTAAGTGGAGGAGAATAAAAACAGCTAACACTTACAGCAAATTGTAGGCAGAGGCTTCAGCAACGGTGTCCTAGTCTGGGTCACAGATGTGGTTCGGATCGGGTGGAGGCCGCAGAGCTTGCCAAGGCAAGGCCAAGGACAAAAGGTGGCTCCTCATCACTAACTGTGCCTCCTGGTCAAGGACATGAAGATAAAGTTCATCTATTGCCTGGGTGGCTCAGTTAAGCATGTGCCTTCGGCTCAGGTCATGATCCCAGCATCCTGGGATCGAGCCCCGCATCAGGCTCCCTGCTTTTTGGAGAGTCAGCTTCTTGCTCTTCCTCTGCCTCTACCCCTCTCCCCATGCTTGTGTTCTCTCTCTCTCTGTCTCAAATAAATAAATAAAATCTTTAAAAAAAAAAAAAAAGATAAAGTCCTTGGAGTTCTAGTCTTCTCCCTGCCTATTAAGGAGTCAGATCATCAACTTTTTTTCTAGGTATGTCTCTCTTTAAAGATTAGGCCCATGCAAAAGGAAACCTGCACTGGCCAGTGGATCAAGTTCAAAGGCATTTGTCAACATCCGGAACTACAACAGCCAAAGTTGGTTCTGGGTGTGCTCCAAGGAGACAGCCTTTGCCACGTGCGGGGCCATGGTCCTGGCCCACCTCTCCTCCATAGACACAGCGCAGTGAGGTTACCAGGAGATCCAGATCAGCAAGCCCCACACCATCTCTTGAAATGTGACAGGCCACTGTGTCTCTGTGCTGGCATGCCTCATCCCTGCCCCCAGAAGCACAAACATCATCTGGACCCAAGAAGCTGCTGAAGATAACTACTATCAACAACTGCTACACCTAGACTAAAGGTTGCACTGCCATCCGGGGCAACTTAACCAAGGCCACCTTTTATGCCATCTCTAAGATCTATAGCTATCTCACCAAGACGCCTCTAGAAAGAGACCCTGTTCACCATGTCTCCCTATCAGTTCACTAGACCTTCTAGTAGAGACCCACAGCAGGGTCTCCGTGCACAGGATCCAGGCTCCAGCTGTTGCCACCAGTGTTTTTACACCAGGAAATTAAGGTGAATTAATTAAGCCTGTAAACAAACAAACAAAAAAAATCACCCGTGAGATGTGTTAACTTCACAGAACCCTGAAGCTCATCATCAAAAGTTACTTCTGCTGTGGTTATTCTCAGACCACACTAAGGCAGACTGAAGTAGTATTTTATTATCATTTTTTAGACCCCATACTGGCAGGTAACTCGATCAGCCAGTTATCAACTTGAAAAACCAACAGTCTGAAGCTATTAAGTACCCTGGCACAGACTCATAATGGTGGAGGTCCTAAGACCCCCAGGCATCAAGTCTAGAATTTTGGCAAGCTTGCATGGAGACCTGCGCTCCCCCTGCCAACACATGCTTCTGTTTGGAATTAACTTCCCTTTTTTTTTTTTTTAACTTCCTGATATTCAGCATTCAGTCAGGGTTCTTGATTTCTAACGCAAAATCTCGTTTTCAGGCCTTGATAACTGTCCTCAACTGTTAGAATGGCCTGAATGTCCTGCCTTACCTCCTTAGAATTCCACGCCGCAAACTACTTAAGAGTTCAAAATCCTTCATAGATTTCCTATCCCTAAAAGACCAAGTCCATAAATTTCAATAGCTCAGACTATCATTCCGTCGAAATGCAAATTATTAAACAGTATTTGATAACTTGAGGAAAAAGGAAATAGCAAGTCAGGAATTCAAATCAAATACTACTTGGTTGGCAACGACTCAGAGAGGAGTGCTACAGCCCCGGGAGACGCTCCACCCGCCTGCCCCGGAGGAGGCGGGCCAGTCTTCGGGCTTCCGGCTCGGCAAGGCTAGAGGGGCGGTTTTCGCGGGGGACGACCCAGTAGGACCGTCCGGCGGAGAGTCGGCCCGCCGGCGCCAGGCCCTGCAGTCTCGGAGGAGTCGCGTCCGTCGCCCCTGCCGCCCTAAGCCGCCGTCCCAGCCATGGCTGCACGCCTGTTCCGCTGCTCCCGGCGCTGGTGGGGCTACCCGTGCGCCCTGCCGTCGCGGCCCGCCGCGAGGTGAGTGCCCGCCCGGCTCCAGCTGAACTGCCCCGGGCGGGCTGCAGAGCCGTGGCGGGCGCGTGCGCGGAGGAGGGACCCCGGGGGCCCGGAACGTAGTGGCGCGCGCGGGGCGGCAACCTGGGCTGGGCTGGGGGGTGGGCGCTGGAAACTCCGAGGGTAGGCGCTGACCCTCGTCCTGCGGCGCGGGGTACTTGATGGGACCCATGTCGACGAGGGCGGATGCGGGCCTAGGTTGTGTCCCCCGGAGTCGCGGGAAAGCCCAATGCGGGGTTCGCCAAAGGCTCACTCTCTGGCTCCAGTGCGGCTCGTGAGAGTCTGGCCGCGGGGTTGCGGGGGAGGGGCGTCAAGCCTGGGTGCCCTTACGGGGACTCGGGCTCCTATCTTTGGACCCAGGACCGTGGCTAAAGGCAGCGGAGTAGTGTCCCAGGCGCTCTCAGGGTCGTGAACCTGGAGGTGGGACTCCCGCCTCGCAGGTCCGGAGAAAGTGTCAGGCGTCTGCGAGGAAGCCTACTTGCAAGAGTGCCCCGGAGAAAGCAGCCCAGGACAGCAAAGACCTGACCTCAGCCCCATCAGTCAAGGACACTGAAATTAATTGAACAAATCCTTTATTTATTTGTTTGGCATTTTTCGGCACAAGCTTTATAAAGAACAGAAGAACACTTTTTTCACAGTGTACTCAGTCCTACAGAGCCCAAGCTGTGGGGCTGGTGCTCTTAACAATCAGTAGAGGCTTCAGACTTTGCCACTTAGCACATTCTCCACGGCTCTGGTTACCTGATCAGCACTAAAGCTGTTCAAAGAGACATTCTTCTCTTGGCCAAATGCGTAGCGGGCCCAGAGTTTGGGCTGCACATCAGAACACTCGCGGATTAGGATGGGCAGGCCAGGGTTTGCCTTCTTCAGCTCCACATAGTGCTTCTCGATGAGTTCCCTGATGCCCTGGCTTGGCTGCCGGGCGAGCAGTGACTTAGGTGGACGCGAATCTCAACGTACGCCAAGTTTGGCCCCATCCCGCAACTCGCTGCTGCCCGCCGCTATCTCCCGGGGTGCCTAACTCCCCGCCCTAGGACTTCCGGCCAAGTTCTCCCTGAACAAATCCTTTAATTAAATTTGGAAGAGTTAATAGTTTCTAAGTGGCTCCGTGGTGATGAAGGTAGTGTTTATGAGATCAAAAGCTTTAGATATGACACATAAAATCCATTCATCGGAAGCATCCAGGTTTCACCATTTAAAGAGTAGGACACAAGGGGCGCCTGGGTGGCTCAGTTGGTTAAGCGACTGCCTTCGGCTCAGGTCATCATCCTGGAGTCCTGGGATCGAGCCCCACATCGGGCTCCCTGCTCAGCAAGGAGTCTACTTCTCCCTCTGACCCTCTTCCCTCTTGTGCTCTCTATCTCTCATTCTCTCTCTCTCAAATAAATAAATAAAAATCTTAAAAAAAAAAAAAAGTAGAACATGAATGATAAATTAGCTCATTACAACATTAGTGGAACTCTCAGATGCTATGGGAGCGGAAAAATAGCTGTTCCTCCTGAGGACAGTTGGGAAGACTTCACTGAGGGGGTGACTTGACTTTAGGATGCACATACTTTTCTGAGCTCTTCCCCAGAACTTCAAAAGACTGTGGTCCTCAATTTCTTTTGTTATCGGGACTCTTAATTCTCTTAAAGTTAGAGGACACCCAAAGACCTTTTGTGTGTGTGTGTGGGGGGGTTGTATCTATCCATATGGATATCAATAGATAACTACAAAACGAATTTTACAAATATTTAGTTAATTAAAAGTAACAATAGAAATTATGGTAAGTGAAGTAAGTCAGACAGACGGATACTGTATGATCTCATTTATATGTGGAATCTTAAAACAACAAATGAAAAAAAAGAACTCATAGATACAGACAAAAGACTGTGGTTGGTGGGGAGGGTGTGGAAATGGGAGAAGAGGGGGTGCAAGCTTCCAACTCTAAGTAATGGGAGTTTAATGTACAGCATGATATTTCAAATTTGCTAAAATAGTAAATCTTAAATGTCATCACAAGGAAAAAAATTATAAGTATGTGGTGATGGATATTAATTAGACTTATTGTGTTGATTATTTCACAATATATACAAATATTGAATCATGTACATCTGAAACTATATGTTATATGTCAATTATATCTCGATAATAAGTAAAAGTAACAATAATAAACCCATTACATGTTATCATAAATATCATTTTTGTGTAAAATAGCTTTTTCAAAAAGAAGAAGAGAGACATCGTTTACATTGTCTGGCTTAGTAGAAGACATCCCAAGTCTCATATCTGTTTCTGCATTACGTCTATTGGGATAAATTATTTTGGTTGAATTATAGGAAGAAAATCTCATAGAGAATTTTGGAAAAAGAAGAACCTGAGGGACCCTCTGAATAGGTCAGGGACTACAGTTTTATTATGGCAGGCTTCTTAATGTACAAATGAATCATTCAGGGAATTTGTTAAAATACAGATTCTGATTCACTAGATCTGGGGTGAGGTCTGAGATTGTGTATTTATAACCAGTTCCCAAGTATTGCTGAAGGTGCTGGTGGGGACTTGTCTCCCTTTATAATGTAAATGATTTTAAAAAAAAAATAATAGAGCCTGGCCTGTTAAATTAGTAGAAGTTTATTTTTGTTCAGTACAGATTTCTTGGTCTTTATAAGGAAAAAAGAAAGGGCCAATTTATTCAGTAAAGTTTTCTTGGTCTTCAAGAAATGGATGTTCCAACATACTGGCTATCAACTCTTTGGATTTTCTTCTGCTTATTCTCTCTTGAACACTTTTAACTGACCTGAAAATCTTTATTCTCTCTGGCACTTCTTTCACTTTCTATTGTCTTGGTGTATTTTACTTAGAAATATTCCAAAGGTTTCCTTAAAGTAATATACGATATAAAATTTTAAGATAGAGGCAGACTGGAATATAAATTTGCTAATTATGTTGACAAATGATTCAGTGTTTCAGAGCACTGGTTTCCTAGCCTCAGCACATTTTTTTCCTGAGGAAAAATTCCAAGTATGGAAAAGCTATATGGACAAATGTGTGCATTATAATTTTATTTCTACTAGCAGGAAATTGGAACCAATCATTTTTGTTACAGGATTTTTCCTTTAGTGCTTGCTGTTCTTGATCACACCGCTTGGAAGAATGAAGAGGCAGACCAGACCTGCAGAGTGGTGGGCAGCAAAGCAAAGTTTACTGAGCAATAGTAAAGTTCATTGAGTGATCATACAGGGGTCCCAAAGAGGGAGGGGCCTTGAAGGAGGGGACCGGAGAGGGTTGCCGCGGCTGGAGTTTCTAAGTCTAGGGGTTTTTATGGGTTTGTTGGAGGACTGTTTGAATCTGATTAAGCCTCCCTGCGCCTGTCATCCAATCAGGTTTTTATCACATGAGAAAGGGTGGAGGCCTCCTTCCAGGGTGGTGTAAAACCCTTTTAAGGGTGGTTTCCTCTTAGGGCGGAGGCCCCTTGTCCCTGCCTACCTTTCTTCCAACTATCCTTCATCAATTTCAATTGTGGGATAAAGTAAATTTTGGCCTATTTGGTATAACAGTATAGTGGTATGTAAGACCCCTGCACCCCTCTGACTTCATCTACTACTGTTTTCACTCACTCCACATTTGGCTCCTTGCTCTTTATAGAACATACCAAATACCATCCTGCCTGACACCTTTTGCTCTAATTGCTTTCTTGTCCTAAAATTCTTCTGTTCCAGAAATCTGATTGGCTGTCACCTTGAGGTGTTTGCTCAAATCTCATTCTTCTGACTTAACCTACCCTGACTGCACTATTTCCATACTGCAGCCATGGTCCCTGCCTTGTCCCACACACACATTCTGATCCTTGCCCCACTTTTCTTTTCCATAGAACTTACCATCTCCTCCTTTATTCTATAATTTGCCTCTTTACTATATTATTTATCATTATTCAGTCTCCCCTTCTAGAAATGTGAGCCTGAAAACAGGGATCTTTATTTTGCTCACTCTTGTTGCCCAAGCTACCTGAACAGTGCCTGGTACATAATGGGTACTCAGAAAGTATGTGTTGACCAAATGAATGCATGAGCCATTGAAAATAATGATTTAGATGACTGAGTAGTAACCATGAAGGCTAAGGCAGACTTAAGTATAAAAATTGTAGTATTACATGTTCATAACCAAATATTATCATTTAAATGTCATCTCACATGATATTAATAAACTCCACTAAAAGTTGCATATAAAAGATAAACCTAGGGCGCCTGGGTGGCTCAGTTGGTTAAGCGACTGCCTTCGGCTCAGATCATGATCCTGGAGTCCCTGGATCGAGTCCTGCATCGGGCTCCCTGCTCGGCAGGGAGTCTGCTTCTCCCTCTGACCCTCCCCCCATCTCATGTGCTTTCTCTCTCTCAAATAAATAAATAAAAATCTAAAAAAAAAAAAAGATAAACCTAAAGCAAAATGACAGAAAATGCATATTAAGTGTATTACTTAGCTTATGCTGTCATAACAAAATACCATAGACTGGATGGCTTGAACAACAAATTTATTTCTCATGATTCTAAAGGCTACATAATTGAAGATCAAAAGGCTAGCCAATTCAGTTCCTGAGCTCTATTTCTTGCTTGTGGATGGCTACCTTCTCCCTATGTCCTCACATGACCTTTCCTTGTTGTGTGCACATAGGGAGAGAGAGAGCTAATTCTCTCTTCCTCTTATAAGGCCACAAATCCTCTTAGATTAGGACCCCGCTCTTATGACCTCATTTAACTAATTACCTCCTCAAAGCCCTATTGCCAAATACAATCACAGTGGGAGTTAGAGCTTCAACATGTATTTGGGAGTGATGCAGTTCAGTTCATAGCATTGAATAAAAATACATAAGCTAAAACAAAATAATTCATTACAGGGGAAAAAAAGGTTGAGAAAACCTAATTGCCTATAAAGAAAACTGTCTTTTAAACAAAAACACTAAGAAGAAAGAGAGGAGGGGGAAAGGAAAGAAAGAAAAGAAAGAAAGAAAAAAAAAAAGCAGGGTCCATCTAAGGAAGAGAGAAACCCCAAACAGAATTTCGTGCAAAACAACCTTTGCCAAAATTTGGATATATGATAAAAAGTTTTTTAGATATGAGGTTGAAAATATACAAAGTGATACACAGATTCTCATACTCTTCTCAGGAGTGCCCCAAGAGGGAAATAAACCTGAAGACCACAGAACTAAAGGAACTACAGAGCAGTCTTATTTTAAGGTTAATATGGGGGGACAGGGAGAAGGAAGGGTCAGTTTCTGAAGATCTTGATTAATTCTGTGCTAATCCTTACAGAGATTCATGGACATTTTTATTTACACCCAGGTTTCCTCTAATATGGGAATAACATCCCCATAATTTATATCTTATACACCGGCCATTTCAAATTGTATGATTCTGAATGAAATATTAATCTGGATTCCGGAAAAATGTTAATATTATCTTAAACATCATAGTGACATGAAAACTTACCAATATTACTCTGTGGTGATATTTGAATTTTACATAATTTAATTCACATCATGTGACAACACTGTTTTACCTCAGCTCAGACCTGTGGTTAGTCATAGCCATGATGTCCTCATTCTGGGTTTGGAAGTGAAGAGTAAGTTGAATAAAGACAAACTACTTGATCTCATCTAGATGAGGTAGATCCTATCAAAAGTGGTGATGCTCAAATTTGAACAGGTCTGTCAAATTTCAGAGTCTTTTTACTTACCTCTGTAGTTTGTCTATGGGGGGGGGGAATCAGTGTTTTTCCATGTCATTAAATTGAACTAAACTTCCGTGTTGTTCAGTGGCAGTAATGTGGATATGAAGAGTAACAATTCACTTAATTTTCATAATGTGTATGTATATTTTTAAGATATTCTCATTCCGGAGGGGAAGAACGTCTAGAAAGTCCTTCTGCTAAAAAATTAACAGATATCGGAATTAGAAGAATCTTTTCTTCAGAACATGACATTTTCCGGGAAAGTGTAAGGAAGTTTTTTCAAGAAGAAGTGATTCCTTACCACGCAGAGTAAGTGGCACATTTTCCTTTAAAGTAATATGCATAAAGGGAACCGTAAGAACCACTTCCTAGAATGCTGCATGTTGTTCTACAGAAAATATACTGTGTTAATTGCTCTACTAACATTTTGCTCTCTTAACTATAACACTATCATACTTAACTATATAACTATAAACTTAAGGATTCTTAAGAATCCTGAGATTCTTGGGGCACCTGGGTGGCTCAGTTGTTAGGCATTTGCCTTTGGCTCGGGTCGTGATCTCAGGGTCCTGGGATCGAGCCCCGCATCCGGCTCCGTACTCGGCGGGAAGCCTGCTTCTCCCTCTCCCACTGCCCCTGCTTGTATTCCCTCTCTTGCTGTCTCTCTCTCTGTTAAATAAATAAATAAAATCTTAAAAAAAAAAAAAAGAATCCTGAGATTCTTAAGTTAGTTAGCTATTTAAATAAATTTTAAAATATACAATTAAAAATAAGAAAATTTTGAAAATTTGCAACTCATTCTAAGAGTAGTAATTTGAATACTCTGGTTAAGTGGCAATTAAGTAAGTAGTTACATATTTTTTTTCTGCTTCACGGAAGAATTAAAAAACATAAAAGCTCAACAGGCCAGCATAATGCAAATCTTGGTTGGCAATTGGCCACCTTAAAGTACTTTTACTACTGGATCAGATGTTTATTGATTAACTGATTAATTACTGATTACCTGCTTTGTTGACCAAAAACCTGTCATTTCTATGAAAATAGGATTTTGCTTTATTTCTAAAATTCACTCACTGTCAATTCTTTAGTACAATTAAAATATTTTTAAAACATTGTTGGGGGGCACCTAGGTGGCTCAGTTGGTTGAGCGGCCCACTCTTGATTTCTGCTCAGGTCTTGATCTCAGGATCAAGCCCCGCCCCCAGCAGGCTCTGCGCTGAGCCTGGAGCCTGCTTAAGATTCTCTCTCTCGGGTGCCTGGGTGGCTCAGATGGTTAAGCGTCTGCCTTCGGCTCAGGTCATGATCCCAGGGTCCTGGGATCGAGTCCTGCGTGGGGCTCCCTGCTCCTTGGGAGCCTCTGTCTTTCATGAATAAATAAATAAAATCTTTAAAAAAAAAAAAAAGATTCTCTCTGTCTCTCTAAAAAAAAAAAAAATTTAAATACCTTCCATGGAGATTTTATTAATGCTTTCTCAGTAAAAATGACCAAAATTAGCTAAACTTGATGTCATGACTAGTCTTTGGTGAAACGCAACTGTCTTAAAAGACAAAAGAAGTGCACCTGGGTAGTTCAGTTAAGCATCAGACTCTTGATTTCTGCTCAGGTCATGGATCGAGCCCCATGTCGGGCTGCGCACTGAGCATGGAGCCTCCTTAAGATTCTCTCTCTTGGGGCACCTGGGTGGCTCAGTTGGTTAAGCAACTGCCTTTGACTCAGGTCATGATCCCAGGGTCCTGAGATTGAGCCCTGCATCAGGCTCCCTGCTCAGTAGGGAGCCTGCTTCTCCCTCTCCCGCTCCCTGCTTGTGCTCTCCCTCTCTGTCAAATAAATAAATAAAATCTTAAAAAAAAAAAAAAGATTCTCCCTCTCCCTCTGCCCTTCCCCCCACTCACATGTGCACACTCTCTTTCTCTATAAATAAGTAAATAATAAATAAAAATCTTTAAGAAAGAAAGTAGGAAAAAGTTTTGCTCTTGGACAATCTTTTTTGTTTCTTGCTTTGCTGATTTGAAACTTTGTTCCACAAAAATTGTTGTGAAGATTTGAAGTAAAAATGATGGAAGTCGACAAATTTTAGGTTAATGATAAAAATATTTCCAAAGGTACTTTAGGCAATAATTACATCAAAACATACATGATAATCAAACTCTTAAAATTTCTTGAGGTATCTGTGTTTGCCTTTAATCAATATCTTCAAAAATATACTTACTATATCTAACTACCACTTAAAAAAAATAAAACAAAAACAAAAGTTCTCAGATTCTTTATCTCTGACTTGCCATCTCTTTCCTCATTATGCCATTCTCATTTTTAAAGAAGAAAAGCAGAGGTTGCACAATCTTATGCAAATATCTAATCTTTTCAGAAGTTCATTTGACAGCTCAGCTGCAAGATGCTTTTGTTCTTTTATTGCTCCTACTTAAGATTGCCTGCTCTTGTCACCTTTTATATATGCTCATCCCAGTAAGTTCAGCACTTTAAGGAAACATACAGAGGGCAATTGCCTTTACAGGACAGTTGGACAAATTCCCATGACTATATGGCACAACTAAGATTCCATCCTAAGAGTACCAGCTGAAACTGTACCCATGAATATCAATAGATGTAATTTGCAGGTCCAATGAATAGTCAAGGGAGAAGAGAAGTGGCAAATAGGAAGAAGTAAGAAGAGAACAAGAAGGAGGAGAAACAATAAAACAGATGCAAATAGAAAGTTATGGCCAATGTCAACGACAATTACCTCAAATTAAGGGAACATTCCTACACAATATCACCCATAAGTTCAAATTATGACCATTAAAATAATATGAAAAAAGTGTTTCTGATTTTAAAATGTTTGCTGTTTGCAGATGGGAGAAAGCTGGAGAAGTGAGTAGGGAGCTTTGGGAAAAAGCTGGAAAACAGGGACTGCTGGCTGTCAATATTGCTGAGCTTCATGGTGGTATTGGTGGGGACTTTTATTCGGCAGCTGTTGTTTGGGAGGAACAGTAAGTATGCAGACATTTGAAGTGGAGTCTTGTTTGTTAAGCACACTGCTCACTTTTCTGAGAAGATGATAAATTATGCTTTCTAATCTTATAATATTGAAAACAGTATAAACTGTGAATGAATAAACTCCTTAATATACTCTTGTGCATTTTTTTTAATGTGGGAAGATAAGAAAATGCCCTTTTAAACTGTTAGAATAGGTGCTATTGAAAATTGAAGAGATCCCTTCATTTTTAATTGCTTCGTGTTTACTTTTCTCCTTTTAAAAAGCTATTTAAAAAAAAAAAAGTGGAAAAATATTTCCACCAAATATAAAGTTTAATGTATGAGAAGAAATAAAGATTTCAATTGATGAATGGGCACAGGATTTGAACTAACAGTTCATCAAAACAAAATTCAAATAGGTTCTTTTCGATGAAAAAAGTTCATCCTTATTACCAATCAAATGCAAATTAAATTAGTATCATTTTGAGTATTTGCAAAAGTTGGTGAAAATTCAAAATCATAATATGCATTGCTGACAAAGTTGCAGTGAAAATGAGATAGTCATACTATTAGTGGCATTATCAATTAGGACAATCAATACTTTGGGGATTAAAAATGTGGATACATATAAAAAATTGAAAATATTTCTGCTTTTTGATCTAGGATGCTACTTTGGGGAGTTTATCTTAAGGAAATAATTTTATAGAAAAAAGAGGCAGTGTGTACCAAAATCATTGTCATGTTAGATCATAGTCCTCCAAATATGGAAGCAATCTAAATGTCTGGTAGTGGGAGAATGAGTAAGTAAATTATATTACATAAACAATTTTGAGTACTTTACAGCTATTTCATATTATTGTTGTGACAACTGTGTTAAAAAAAGGACTTCTTCATGTCGCATAATTAAAAAAAAATAGTTAAGTACAAATTCACACCATGACTGCAACTATATTAGAATATATCCTTCTGGCAAAGGTAATTTGCCAAAATGAAAATAGTTGCTATATTAGGGTAATACAACTGTAGGTGATTAATACTTTTACATGTTTGATCTTTTAATTTGTTAGGTAAGTATTCATGGAGCTCTGTTAGAGTACTGTTAATTGTGCTAGAGCCAGAAATTAAAAGATTAATAAAAACAAAGAGAAAATCTTGGAACTTCCTAGGTTTGTGCAGAGACAGGCTATTACCACACAATGTGATAAGACTTAATAATTTGTTGTTGTTTAATTGAAAATCAAAGAAACTGAAAGCAGAACAAAATAATTTTGTGCTTTAAATTTTCTTCTTTTTTTCTCTTTAAGAGCATATTCGAATTGTACAGGCCCAGGTTTTAGTCTTCATTCAGATATTGTCATGCCCTATATTGTAAACTATGGCTCAGAAGAACAGATTAAGCACTTCATCCCCCAGATGACCAGTGGGAAATATATTGGTGCCATAGCAATGACAGAGCCTGGGGCTGGAAGGTAAATCAGCATTCATTTGGTTTTAAATTTTTGGAAGCAGTGCCCAACAGCAAATATTTTCTTAGTACTCACTTCATACAACCCTTTGAACAGTATGCAAGGAGGCGTACGAAGATGAACAAAGCATAATTTACAGCCTAAGTGACTTCAAACTCCAGTAGGAAAATAAGGCCTTATCATATATGAATAATAATAAAACATTATGATATATGCTGTTTTGAGATATTAATATGAGGTAATACAAATAAAATGGTAGGATATGACTTGAATTTAGCGTGATGACTCTTGGATGTGATGGGACATTCACATGGAAATGTCCAGCAGGCTATTAGAAATAGGAGTTTGGAACTCTGGAGGCAGACTGGGGCGCAAAAAATTGGAGCAATGGGAATAAATAAGATCATTTATTCAGTCATTCGAAGGTTACTTACTAAGTGCCTTTAATGTGCCAGTTACACAGTGGCAAACAAAACATGTGTTTGTTGTGCTTACTGAGGAGAATGACAAGAAACACATAAATAAATAGATCCCTAATTATAAATTCTGATGAGTACTATGAAGGGAATGTGGTGCTGTGCTAGAGACTAATGGAGCATGTGTGTTTGTTGGGAAAGGAAAAAATGAATTTAGATATGAGTGCCAGAAAAGGCCTATAACAAGTGGTTACATATAAACTGAGATGTGTCAGCTTTGTAATATAACTTGAAGTCTGGAATTGTGATACCTCCAGTCTTGTCTTACTTTTTCAAGATTGCTTTGCTATTTCGGGTCTTTTGTGAATCTGTACAAATTATAGGATTGTTTGTTCGAGTTCTGTGAAAAATGCTATTGGTGTTTTGATAGGGATTGCATTAAATCTGTAGGTTGCTTTGGGTAGTGTAGACACTTTAACAATATTTGTTCTTCCATTCCATGAGCATGGAATGTCTGTCCATTTCTTTGTGTTGTCTTGAATTTCTTTCATCAGAGTACGGGTTTTTCACCTCTTTGGTTAAGTTTATTCCTAGATATTTTATGATTTTTGCTGCAATTGTACATGGGATTCTTTCTTTTTTTTTTTTTTTTAAGATTTTATTTATTTATTTGACGAGAGAGACACAGAGAGAGAGGGAACACAAGCAGGGGAGTGGGAGAGGGAGAAGCAGGCTTCCCTGATCCCAGGACCCTGGGACCATGACCTGAGCCGAAGGCAGACGCTTAATGATGAGCCACCCAGGCACCCCCATGGGATTATTTTCTTAATTTCTCTTTCTGCTGCTTCATTATTAGTGTATAGGAATGCAACAGATTTCCATATGTGGATTTTGTATCCTGCAATTTTACTGAATTCATTTATCAGTTTGAGTAGATTTTTGGTAGAGTCATTCAGGTTTTCTGTATATACTCCTGTCATCTGCAAATAGTAAAAGTTTTACTTCTTCCTTACCAATTTGGATGCCTTTTCTTTCTTTTTGTTGTTTGGTTGCTGTGGCTAGGACTTGCAGTACTATGTTGAGTAAAAGTGGTGAGACTGTATAACCTTGTGTTGTTCCTGACCTAGGGGGAAAGCTCTCGTTTTTCCCCATTGAGTATGTTTTAGGTTTTTCATATAAGGCCTTTATTATGTTGAGATATGTTCCCCCAGACCTACTTTGTTGAGAGTTTTTATCATGAATGGATGTTGTACTTTGTCAAATGCTTTTTCTGCATCTATTGAAACGATCATATGGTTTTTATCCTGTCTCTTACTGATGTAACATATCACATTGATCGATTTGTGAATATTGAACCATGCTTGTATCCTGGGAATAAATCCCACCTGATCATGGTGAATGATTTTTTTAATGTACTACTGAATTTTTTTTTTAAGATTTTTACTTATTCCCTAGAGAGAGAGAGAGAGAACGAGCAGGGGAGAGAGGCAGAGGGAGAAACAGACGCCCCACTGAGCACGGAGCCAAATGTGGGGCTTGATCCCAGAACCTGGAGATAATGACCTGAGCCAAACGCAAATGCTTAACCATCTGAGCCACCCATTCATGTTGCTAGTATTTTGTTGAGGATTTTTACATCTATTTTCATCAGAGATAATTGGCCTGTAGTTCCTTCTCTTTTTTTGTGGGGGTCTATTTAGTTTTGGCATCAAGGTTGTACCAGCTTCATAGAATGAGTTTGGAAGTGTTCCTTCCTCTTTTATTTTTTGGAATAGTTTGAGAATAATAGGTTTTAACTCTTCTTTAAATGTTTTATAGAATTTGCCTGTGAAGCTGACTGGTCTTGAACTTTTGTTTGTTGGGAGTTCTTTTTTTATTATTGATTCAATTTCATTGCTGGTGATTGGTCTGTTCAAATTTCCTATATTTTCCTGCTTCAGTTTTGGTAGGTTATATGTTTCTATGAATTTATCCATTTCTTCTAGGTTATCTAATTGTTGGTATATAATTTTTCATAATATACTCTTACAATTGTTTGGGTTTCTGTGGTGTTGGTTGTTATTTTTCCTTTCATTTGTGATTTTGTTTATTTGGGTCATCTTTTTTTTTTTTTTGATGAGTCTGGCTGGACATTTATCAATTTTGTTGAGCTTTTCAAAGAACCAGCTCCTGGTTTCATTCATCTGTTGTATTGTGTTTTTTTAGTTTTAGTTTCTATATCATTTATTTCTGCTCTATTATTCCTTCCTTCTGCTCGTTTGGGGTTTTGTTTGTTCTTCTTTTTCTAGTTCCTTTAGGTGTGAGGTTAGGTTGTTTATTTGAGATTTTTTTTGCTTCTTCAGGGAGATCTGTACTGCTATAAACTTCCCTCTTAGAACCACTTTTGCTGCATCCCAAAGATTTTGGGCTGTTGTGTTTTCATTTTCATTTGTTTCCATGTACTTTTTGATTTCTTCTTTGATTTCTTGGTTGACCCATTCATTGTTTAGTAGCTCCTTGAATTTGTGGCCTTTCTAGATTTTTTCTCATGGTTGATTTCCAGTTTCATAGTGTTATGGTCAAAAAAGATGCATGGTATGACTTTGATCTTCTTAAATTTGTTGAAACTTATTTTATGGCCTAATATGTGATCTATTCTGGAGAATGATGACTGCCTTAGATCCAGGGTATTCTGATACCAGCTGTGTGATTGTGGGCAAAATCTTTGAGCCTCAATGTCTGTATCAGTGATACTTATTTAGTAGGGTTATTGTGAGGGTCTGAATTCTTGGTAATACTAAGTAGTATATTTTAAAACCATTTTTAATATTTCATATTTACCATTCAAAGTTTTTTTTTAATTAAACCACAAACTGAGTTGTTTGTGGTTACCTTTTTATTACCTTTAATATGTCCCTACGTAGAAGTATTATTTTAATAAGCCATGTACAGTCTTTAGAAACTAATATTTCATACTAATTTACGATGAAAAAAAATACAATAGTGCACAGCTTTAAAATGTTCTTTATAATCATCTCTCCTTTTACTGAAAACCAAACTATATAAGTTTTTGTCATTTAACTCATCTTTCAAACAGGTGGCCTTGTTTCCAATGTCAAGTGTCCGCAGGATCACCTCCAGGTTCTGTGATTTGCTCAGAGTCACAGGATTCAGCTTCTAATTGTATTCACCACTATAATTTATTTCAGGGAAAGAATACAAACAAAATCAGCAAAAGAAAAGCCTCATGGACTGAAATTCATAGAAAACCAGGAGCAGCTTCCAAGAGCTCTCTTTTAAGTGACGTTCCACAGGACTTGTTTAATTCCTTTAGTGGCAAGTTGTGAGAATACGTGTGAAATGTTATCTACCAGGGTAGCTCATTAGAGACTCAGTGCCCAGAATTTTATTGGAAGTTGGTCACATATACTGTTTGTCTAGCATGTGACAAAAGTTGAGATTCCCAGAAGAAAAACAAGTGTTTAGCATCAATCATTATTTGTTCAAACAGTTTAGGTACAGTGCATTACCCTTCTCTGTTCTGGGAATGGTGGGAACCCTCCTGCCAAATTCACGGATGCCAACCAAAACCCAAACTTGTAATCAGGCCTTTCTAAGGATAGCAGCCTGAGACCTATTTATTTATTTGTCAGAGAGAGAGACAGAGAGTGTGCACAAGCAGGGGGAGTGGCAGGCGGAGGGAGAAGCAGGCTCCCTGCTGAGCAAGGAGCCTGATGCAGGACTCGATTCCAGGACCCTGGGCAGACACTTAACGACTGAGCCACCCAGGTGTCCCATTTGAGATCCTGTTATGTGCAAAGCAATATGCTAGGTGAAGGGCATATAAACTTGATATACAGCATGTCCTCAGAAGGTTTGAGTCTGGTAAGTGGGGTAGGCAAGAAAGATCAGATCTTTTTAATTAATCACTGAAATACAAGATAAATGCTCTAAGAGAGTATGTTATTTTCCTATGGTTTCAGTGGTAACAAATTACCACAAACTTGGTGGCTTAGAAAGACAGAAATTTATTCTCTCACAATTCTGAAGGCCAGAAGTCCAAAATCAGTATAAATCCAGCCCAAATCAAGGTATCAGCAGGGCTGCACTCCCTCTAGACATTCTAGGGCAGAATCCATTCCTTGCCTCTTCCATTTCCTGGTGTCTGACCATTTCTGGCCTTCTTATCTTATCATTCCATTCCAACCTGCCTCTGTGGTCATGTTGCCCCCCTCTTCTGTCTGTATAATTTCTGTCTGCCTCTCTTTCACAAAGACATTTGCATTTAAGGTCCATCCATCAGATAATCCAAGATAGTCTCCACATCTGCAAGACCCTTTTTCTATATAAGGTAACACTTCACAGTTCCAAGGATTAGGATAACTGATGTAGACTCTTTATACATGATGTTACTCATTGTAGGATATTTACAAAAATTGGAAACTACCTAAATAGATTGTTTTAAAAAATCATGATAAATCTTACACAATGAATCATGGAACACTACATCAAAAACTAATAATGTAATGTATGGTGACTAACATAACATAATAAAATAAAATTTTAAAAATGATAAATCTATACAATGTAATTCTATGCTGATGGTAAAAAAAGATCTTATAGGAAAGCATTAGATACTATTTAGAGGTCAAAAGCATATAGTTTTATAAAAATACATATATGTGTGTATCTGTTTCCATTGAAAAAATGATGGAAGGATGTATTTTAGAAATGTTTATTCCAGGAGGTAAAATTATTTTCAATATTTTTGGGGGGGGTCTGGGATATTGTCTATACTTTTCATATTTCAATTGTGAATATTTATTTTATATTTTGAAAAATAATCTATTCCACTTTTAGAGCAGGCTTGTTAGAGGAAGCATTTGAGACATAGTCTTTTTTTTTTTTAGGAGCTTTTTTTTTCTTTTAAAGATTTTATTTATTTATTTATTTGAGAGCATGAGTTGGGGGAGGGGCAGAGGGAAAGGGAGAGGGAGAAGCAGACTCCCCACTGAGTGGGGAACCACAGAGATCATGACCTGAAAGATCATGACCTGTGCCAAAGACTGAGCCACCTAGGCACCCCGGATTACGAGTTTTTAATGCTTGGACTGAAAAATCGCGGGGTTTTTCATAAAGTTATTGGTCCACCTCTCGCAGGGCAAGGATCTGCCCCTCACCCAGCAAGGTCTTGGGAGTGGGGGGAGCTCCTTCTGTAGTGTGGTACAGTGATGCCCCAACCAAGAGGCAAAAAAGCAAGAAGTATAAGGAGCACCCACCTGCCAGGCACAACGCAAGGTACTTTCAAGTGTTATCTCACTTAATCCCCACACCAACCCCATGAGGTAGGGATCCCCATTTTACAGATGAGGATCCTGAGGCTTAGAAGCGTTCATCAAATTTGTCCAAAGTCATAAATTTTACAAAGTCATGAAGTCTCGAAGCCGAGATGAAGAAAGCCAAGTCTTCTGGTCTTCCCCACTCTGCCACATTGAATTCTTTCTCTGATCCAGCCTCAGTCTCCCATAAGAAGTTCACTCTTAACATCCATATCCCTGGTCCCTCTGACTGAGGGCACTCCAGTCTCAGCACGGATCTCTTCGGGTGCTCTTGGGGCAGGGTCAACACAGGTCCCCCAATGCCCAACCAGTCCTGGACTATGCTCATTTCCCCAAAGGACACCCCAGTCTGGGCCATGCCAAAGGGTCCAGGGTTCATGCCCAGGAAGAGCACTTCCTTGGGGCCCTGGGAATAGTGGGTCACATAGCTGTGGTGTGGCTCCCACGCATAGTCCACAGAAATGTGGATGATGCCCACAGGCTCTAAGAACTTCAGCTGCCTCAGTTCAGCATTGAGCCACAGCTCCTCCTCCAGGAAGCCCTCAGCCACGCTTCCAGGGCAAGGCTGGGGCTCTATCAGGGCACTGGCAGGCTCATGGAGGGGCCCCAGTGGATAAGCCTGGGGCACAGCCCTGTCACTATCACCTTTTTAAATCCTCTTTAAAATGACCTTCTACCAGGGAGTCTTTCTCTATGGACTCCTCCCATTTCTACAGCCTGAGTACACTCAAGGCTCAGCTGCCCACTTTGCATTTAAATTGTGTCTGAGGGTTTTCCAGGCTCTGGGTGTGTTTCCATGTCTGGGCCTCCCATGGGGCAGGGATCAGCGTTATTCTCCTTCGTGGGACCACAGGGTTGACAGAACAGTTTGATCCATCAACCTGTTCTCAGTCCCTAGCCTGGTTCAGCTCTCGAGACATAGTCTTTTAAATAGCTAAGTTTTATACTTGATCTTAGCCAAAAGGCTGAGAAGTGATTAAATAGCTAAGTTTTGATCAACAGAGATAGGGGAAGGAACCAAGGTGAATGGAGACAGGCAGGTACATGGTGGCTAATAATCTCAAATATAGTGGGCTTTGAGATGTCATTTTTTTTTAAAGATTTTATTTATTTGAGAGAGAGAGAATGAGAGATAGAGAGCATGAGAGGGAAGAGGGTCAGAGGGAGAAGCAGACTCCCCGCCGAGCAGGGAGCCCAATGCGGGACTCGATCCCGGGACTCCAGGATCATGACCTGAGCCGAAGGCAGTCGCTTAACCAACTGAGCCACCCAGGCGCCCTTGAGATGTCATCTGAGTCTAATATGGAGGTCTTGAATGCTACTTGGAATTTTTATGCTCTATGAAAGCTGGCTAGTTTATGTAATCTTAATCAGATACATTTAGAATATGATACATCAGACATGATTTTTCAGTGCATTTGTGTGAATATTTCTAATATTAGAAGTCAATTTCTATCATGGTATAAACAGTTTGAATTATCACATTATAGACATACGTAAGATCTTTTTGATAATTTTTTACCAACTAATGAGTTTCTTTTCATTATTCTTCACTTTTTCCCAATTATAGTGATTTGCAAGGAGTAAGAACAAATGCCAAAAAGGATGGAAGCGACTGGATTCTCAATGGAAGCAAGGTGTGTAAAGAGGGGCTTCCATAGCCCTTCCTTCCTGAGTCATGCCATGAGTAACAGTGTCTCAACCCTTACTCATTACTGATTCTCTCAAATCTGTGGACTCACGGGAAGAATTGAGTTTACTTAAGTTTACTTAAGTTGTTTTGTTTTGTAAGAATTCTGCAACATTTGTATTACATGAGATCTGTGCCTCTTCTATGTTCCATTTGCCATGCTCTCCTCGCTAATATGGCAAATGTTTTAGCTTCGAAACAACCCTTATCAAGCCACAAAAGAGGAAGGAAAGGCTTGTATTGTCCAAATATTAGATAAATAATAGTTAATAAACTTGATATTCATGAAAAATTGGGATAAGATTTTCTTATAAATATCAAGAAGAGGGGCGCCTGGGTGGCTCAGTCATTAAACGTCTGCCTTCGGCTCAGGTCATGATCCTGGGGTCCTGGGATCGAGCCCGTGTCGGACTCCCTCCTCAGAGGGGAGCCTGCTTCTCCCTCTCCCACTCCCCCTGCTTGTGTTCCCTCTCTCCCTGTGTCTCTCTCTGTCAAATAAATGAATAAAATCTTTAAAAAAATAAGAAGAGTTTCTAAAGTTCTTAGGAGAGAAAGATATCTGATAGAATTTGAGAGCCCTTCAATCCTTCTGAGAGTCCCATCAACCCAGATAGAATTGGAAAGCGCTCCAATTAAGGTTACAGACAGGCTTAGGAGTAAATATGTCCCTTAGAATCTAATATCACGATGGCAGAGGATTTTGTTTACCTAAAGCTGTGTCTGGTATAAACTCAGTAAATATTTATTGTCAACTGAGTGTTAAGTGAACGAAAGATGTTTATCTTTTACACTAAGGCGGTCTTTCCAAAAATTGTTTCAAAGCCTGTTGAAGAACTAATTATGTTTATTTTCTTTGAAATTTTTTTTAAAAATTTCTAATTAGTTTTAGACTAATACCCTCGAATTTACAAAATCATAAGTTTGAGTGTTATACTGTCAAATTGCTGTAAAATTTTGTAAACACTCTTGGTTTCTGTACTTAACCCTGTCAAGGACTAAGAGCAGTTTGTGGGCTGACGTTGGTCTGAAGAACACATTTTGAGTAGCCCAGTTCTAAAGACCTTTCCATAATCTAGTTTCATAATTGTTATATAGAAAAACAGTATCTGTGGTGTTAAATAAATTTGGAAAATGTGTGCAACTTCTCACTCTTTGATATGCTGATATACATTGTGAACCTCTAAAAGTTGGAACCTAGGAAATTCTCTTCATAGATTATCTTGAGTCACTGGTGTTTTTCCAAACATACTTTAAGAATTTTCATCTAAATTATTCGTTCTAAGGATGATAATAAATATGTGCTGATTCCAGTATATGATCACTTAACTCTGTCCACAGAGGGCCACAGAAGACTAGATATTTGGTCAAAAGTAAAATGAGGGGGCTCCTGGGTGGCTCAGTCAGTTGGGTGTCTGCCTTCAGCTCAGGTCATGATCCCAGGGTCCTGGGATTGAGTCCCACATCGGGCTGTCTGCTTGGCAGGGAGTCTGCCTCTCCCTCTCTCTCAAATAAATAAATAAAATCTTAAAAAAAAAAGAAAGAAAGAAAGAAAGAAATGGGAACCCATTCTCCTATGACTCCAGCTTTCTAAGCAAGTCTTCTGTGCAAACCACCCAGGAAAGCACCACTGACAGCTTCCAAATCTCTATTAGACATAACAAAAAATTGAAAGGAAGCAAAAGTAAAGGAATAAGTAAGTAAATATAGTACACCAATAAGATGACCTAATATGCGCCCATTAAAGCATCGATATGAAGTTTTTAATGGTATAGAAAAATAATTACATTAAATGAAGAGATCATATTAACATTTAAGTGAAAATGCATATAGATTTCAACTATGTTAAAAGAAAAAAGACCAGAAAGGAAATTCATAATGCTTTCTGTATGATGGACTGAGGGAGGATTTTCTCCTTTTCCTTTATCACAATATACCGTCTATGTAACGTCTACAATGAGCTTATGTTATAATCACTCAATACCAGAAAATAAAAAAATTAAAAACGATGGCCCTCAGTAGGGATAATCCCAGCCCTATTACAAATTTTGACTGTCTTGATTAGGAAAGAAATTGAGAGTATAAAAGGTATGAAACTGGGAGACCTGAAATGTTTTTGAGCAAGTGGGGTAATGATTCTACAGCAACATTGTAGGAAAAAATAGTTTTGCCATGGTGTATAGAATTTATTTTCAGAAATACATGTTTCTCATTTATTCAACAAACATCCTTGAAGGCCTTCTATATGCCAAACAGTATTCTAGGCACCGACGGTAGGTATATGAGTAGGAAATAGTCCCTTCCCTCACGGAACTCCTTGTACGGAGAGATGTTGAGGGTTTTTGATTGTTGTGTCACATATAACCATGTACCCCTTCACTTGCTGTCATGTAGACAACGCTAATATCATTGGCTTATTTCCCATTATTTGTATGTACAGCACTGTGGATTTTAGAACATAATTCTTCTTTAATGGTATAGTGCCACTTAGAACAGATTCCTTTTTCTCATCTGCAACTTCTTTCTAAAATAGAGTTTATCCTTTTATCATTTTTATAGATAATTCTGTTTTAGTTTGGAAAGGACATAATAAGCTCTGTTCATTATTATTTACAGTATTAATTGTGGAATGAAAATGTACTGGCTTCATTCTTTGAAGCATTGGGTTGCTTTCCTTGTGTTCTTTAATAACCTCATGTAGGTTATTAACACTGCAGATACTTGGGTAGAGTACAAAGAGAGGCGTAAAGAATGTCTTGTCTCGTTTAGTCTTCTTGAATACTTTCCTCCAATCATGACTTATACATGGACCTGATTTATTGCGATATATATATCACAGTATATTTGGGGTTTGCAGGTATTCATCACCAATGGGTGGCTGAGTGACGTTGTGCTTGTTGTGGCAGTCACAAATCGTGAAGCTCACTCGCCTGCCCATGGCATTAGCCTTTTTCTGGTGGAAAGTGGAATGAAAGGATTTATCAAGGGACAAAAGCTACAAAAAATGGGATTAAAAGCCCAGGTAAGTCACAGTATAAATTATTAATTATAAATAATTGAGTTTACTCAGTTATGCCTTATAGAACTATGTAGTTCTATAAGTTTGATATATGTATATCAAATCATGCCTTCTTATGCCAAATTCCTAAGATATGCTTTTCAGAAATGGTGAGAGAGATTTATTCCATTTATCTAACTGTATCTCTTTCTGTTATTCAGCATCAGAAGTGAATCGAGGTATTTTGAGTATCTGCTTCAGAAATGGCAAAATTAATTATATGTTAATAGGCCTTCTATTAAATTGATTGAAGAAAATTATGAAGTAAGAGCAGAAAATATTTTTCTATTATTTGATAATTATCTGGTAGTTTTTCATTACCAAAAAAGAAAAACATGTTTTACTTAATATGCATTAGAAACGCTTAGCTCTTGGTATGTACAGAACTGGACAAGACTGGACGAGACTGGAGCTAGAATGGCAGTGTGTGGTAGTGAGAAAGCCACGCGTTTTTGGAATCGGGGGGATCTGAGTTTGAATCCCTGGTTTACCACCTCCTCGTTGTAGTCATTAACCACTCCAACTTGGCTTCCAGTTTATTTTGTTCTTGCTTTTGTTTTCTTAAATGGAAATAATCATTACCTCATTGGCTTGTTGGGAGACTTAAATGAAATAATTGTGTACTTAACTGCGTGATCCCTTAGGATACTGCAGAATTATTCTTTGAAGATGTCCGGTTGCCAGCTAGTAGTCTACTTGGAGAAGAAAATAAAGGCTTCTATTACCTCATGCAAGAACTTCCACAGGTCAGAGTTATTACAGAGTCTATCTTCTGATTAGCAAATGAAGTCGAATGAAATAACATAGAACTGTGTAAGTTTATGATATATAAAACTGGTGATATAGTCAATCATTAACTCAGGGATATGAATCAAAGCTTATAAGTGAGTGGGGAAATTAGGTATTTCACAGCTGTAATATCCTCTTAGAATGATTGTAGCTTCTTAACTACAAGTCAAGAATTCTTAGCTCCTAAAAAAAAAAAAAAAAGAATTCTTAGCTCCTTGTAAGGAACTGTCAGCCGAAACATTTGGCAGGATTTTTTTTTGTAATACCTGAGAATCAAAGGGGAAGGTGGTTGAGTTCATACCCAATAAGGTCAGCCCTCCATCTGTGTTTTTGGAGTGTGCTAGCTGAACGATCATTGAGCCTCACATGCCAGCATATGAGCATAGGTGCATTTGCCTAGTAACTGCCTCAGCCTGGGCTAAACGTAAAATTGGGGACAAGGCTAGAAACACTGCCACAGAAATCACCAGCAAGATGATTTAAAGTTACTGTGGATTGCACTAATAGACTGAATTTAACCTGTACCCTTTAAGATGTTGATTTTCACAGACCTATTAGGACATGTAATGTGCAGAGATCAATAAATAAAAATAAACAGTTTCATATTTTTCTTCTCATAGATGAATGATGAGAAGAAGGAATGAAATAAACTGTGTCTATATATGTAGTGAAGACAGTCATTTATAAAAATAAAGGATTTGTTTTAGAGAATTATGGATATGTCAAAATATTTTTGTAAATCTCTGTGGGAACATTTCCTTATAGAATTCAGAAATAAATTAATTTTTATGAGTTTTATTAAGATTATTTATAAGATTTATCATCATTGAAATCATGTGAAAATCACTTGTGGAATTAGAATGATTCTTAGACCTAATTTTGTGTCATAGGAAAGGCTACTGATTGCTGAGTTGGCAGTTTCAGCCAGTGAATTCATGTTTGAAGAAACCAGGAATTACGTTAAAGAAAGAAAAGTTTTTGGGAAAACAGTTGCACATATGCAGGTAAGCTTGTCGTCATAGTTTAGTATTAAGTGACATCAATCTAAATATGAATATGGAGTAATTTTCATAGAGGTAGTATAGAATCCATGGAGGTAGATGAGACCATTGAGGGAATAAGACAAGAAGAGGTTCTAGGACAGAGTCCTGGGAAAAATGCAGGATTTACAGGTGGAGTAGGAGGGGAAGAACCTGCAAAGACAACAGAGAATGAATGGCTAGAAAGAAAAAAGCAAATCAAGCAAGTAGTGTCCCAGAAGCCAAGAGGAAAGATTTCAAGTAGGCAGGAGTGGGGCCAAAGGCACTTAGAGGGAAACTAAGATGAAGGTCAAGAATGCCTATTGGAAGACGAATGGATAAAGAAGATGTGATATAGATAGATAGATAGATAGATAGATAGATAGATAGATAGATAGAATGGAATATTACGCAGCCATCAAAAAGATGAAATCTTGCCATTTGCAATGACATGGATGGAACTAGAGGGTATTATGCTAAGCGAAATAAGTCAGTCAGAGAAAGACAATTGTCATATGATCTCACTGATATGTGGAATTTAAGAAACAAGGAAAGTATCATAGGGGAAGAGAGGGAAAAAATGAAACCAGAGAGGGAGACAAACCATAAGAGATTCTTAATCTTAAGAAACAAAGTGAGGGCTGCTGGAAGGGAGCAGGATGGAGGGTTGGGGTAACTGGGTGATGGACACTGGAGAGGGTATGTGTTGTAATAAGCACTGGGTATTATATAAGACTGATGAATCACAGACCTGTACCCTTGGAACAAATAATACATTATATGTTAATTAATTGAATTAAAATTAATTAATTCAAAAAGAGTGCCCGTTGGACATAGTGATAGGGAAGTTATTTCTTAAGAACCATTAATGGACTAGAGTGGGTAGAGGAGTAAATGGAAATGAAGAAGTAAAGATATTAATAGCAGGCAACTCTTCCTGAGTTCGGCTGTGAATGGTAGTTAAGAGAAAGATAGTCACTAGGGGCTAAGAAGAGGGTGGGGGCAGAACTTTGGGATCCAGTGACATAGTAGAGATTATTAAGTTTTTGTCATTAGGATGAGAATGCTGGAGGCACATTTTAATACCTAGAGAAAGGTTTTAGTTAAGAGGGAAATATTGTAGATATGAAGAAGATAATCAGCTGCATATGATATTTGAGAAAGTCTTAGGTTGTGGGTGCCAAAGCACATGGAAAGATAGGCCTTCCCACCCCCACAGCAGAGACCTTTCCCCCATCGTAACAGGAAGAAAAGAGGAGAGGACAGGTCTGGGTTCATTCAGATACTTAGCTCTGTTGGTAGAAAATTGCAAAAGCTCTTTTATGAAGGCTTCCATTTCCCTTAAGTAATATAGGGAAACTCAGTTCTTGAAAAACAGGTGAGTGAAGGGGACATGGAGGTGTCCAAGGAGAGGAAGATTTGAAATACGCCTTCAAACTGAGAGACTGAACTAACTCGAAAAATGTAGTAAAGGCTGCTAGCAGTATTGAGCACTTGGATGAGGTTAATGATCGTGGGTTTATGGTGGTACCTTCTGCTTTTTTTTTTTTGTTAAGATTTTTTATTTATTCATTTGTCAGAGAGAGAGCACAAACAGAGGGAGAAGCAGGCTCCCTGCTGAGCAAGGAGTCCGATGCGGGACTCGATCCCAGGACCCGGGATCATGACCTGAGCCAAAAGCAGACGCTTAACCGACTGAGCCACCCAGGCGTCCCACCTTCTGCTTTTTTATGTATTAGATTTACTAGAAGGGTTTAGCCATCCAGGGTCAAGCACAGAGTAGGTGGATGATTGTTTAAGGTTGGGTTTTGCAAGGAAGTTGAAGGTATTTTCCAAAGAACTCAGCATATGGTGGCCATAATCACTAACCACGCCAATCAAATATTAGACTCTAGTTTCCTCTTAAATGAACAGCTTAAAAACAAGGCAGTCATAAAATTGGTTAAACATTTTACCGGCAAAAAACCTGGAGTTGGAAATCTACTTGGAACAGTTTGAACATCTCATAGGTCTAACTGGACCTATTAGATGATGGACTTTGTAAAGGGCAAGGCAGAAATGAGAAACACTTTGGTAGCCTTTTAGGACCAGCATTACAGAAATTAACTTCAGGCATGGTTAAGTCCTAGCTCAGCTACTTGGATCTCCGTGGTCTAGTCAGGTTATATGATGGCTCTCCAAAGCATTTTCTTATTTGCAAGATGTAAATAATATCTGTAGCTACCTTATAGAATTGCTGTGAGGATTAGATGGTACACCCAGAGTGCTCAGAATATTGCCTGGCAAACTAACCACTCCCTAAAGTTTGCTATTTTTCCCTTACATAATATATTCCTCCATTTTGTTCCAATCAATGAAGGGAACCTTTTTATCAACTTCTGGCTCCTGTTCTGGACCTACCCCAGGCCATTTTGAGAATTATTTGCTACCTGAGTGTTCATCAAGTTACCTTTTTCCTGGGTGCCTGGGTGGCTCAGTCGGTTAAGTGTCTGCCTTCGGCTCAGGTCATGATCTCAGGGTCCTGGAATCAAGCCCCGCATCAGGCTCTCCGCTCATCAGCGGGTCTGCTTCTCCCTCTCCCTCTGCCTCTGTGATCACTTTTGCTCTCTCTCAAATAAATAAATAAAATCTTTAAAAAAAAAAAGTTAACTTTTTCCATTCTGAAAAAAACTTCGTATCCTGTCTTATTGACATAAAATAGATCTAAAAATAGTTGTTCTGAATCTGAATCTAAAATGAGGCACACACTTTAGAAAACATTTTTAAAAATGGTGTGGTTTGGGATGCCTGAGTGGCTCAGTCATTTAAGCGTCTGCCTTCGGCTCAGCTGGGATCGAGTCCCACGTCGGGCTCCTTGTTCAGCAGGGAGCCTCCTTCTCCTGCTCCCTCTCCCTCTGCTTGTGCTCTTTCTCTCTCTCTAACAAATAAACAAATAAAATCTTTTTTAAAAAGTTTAAAAAATGGTATGGTTTGACTTGCCTAAATTGTGATTTCCTTTAAAGTAAGGATTTTATATTTTATATTGCTTTTCATTTATGTATCATTAATTTACACATCGCAGTGATTCTCAGTGATTGCCCTCTTCCCCCCAGGCATTTAGAACTGTCAGGAAGTGGGGTACACAGCAATGGGAGGGATGTTTCATATTTGGTGCTCTGGAGGCTGATATCATTAAATGTCCTGTAATTCAGAGATAGCTTTGTAAAGCAACTAATTGTCTCACTCAAAATGCCAATATTCTCCCTTTGAGAAATAGTGATATACATAATTTATTCCTTTTTGCTTCATTGAGCAAATATGTATTGATTGCCCTCTAAAGGTTGTATGCTGAAATGTAATTTGATAGGTGTGATTCTTAAAATACACACCATAGGCTCCTCTCAACATGAAGTATTACTCCGTGACTTTCTGAAGTTTACCCAAAGTACTTTATAGGTATACCTAGAAAATACTGGCCAGTTCTGTTCCAGAATATTGCAATAAAGCAAGTCTAATGAATTTTTTGGTTTCCCAGTGCATATAAAAGTTATCTTTACACTATACTGTAGTCTATTAAGCGTGCAATAGCATTATGTCTAAAAGGTGTACATACATATGGGGCACCTACATGGTGCAGTTGGTTAAGCATATGACTCTTGGTTTTGGCTCAGGTCTGATCGCAGGGTCATGAGGTTGAGCCCCGAGTGGGGGTCTGCCCTCAGTATAGAGTCTGCTTAAGACTCTCTCCCTCTACCTCTGCCCCTTCCCCCTGTGTGTGTGCTCTCTCCCTCCCTCTCTCAAATAAATGAATAAATCTTTGCAAAAAAATAAATGTGTGCATACCTTTATTAAAAAATACTTTATTGCTAAAATTCTAGCCATCATCTAGCCTTCAGTGAGGGGTAATCTTTTTGCTGATGGAGGGTCTTGCTTCGATGTTGATGGCTGCTGACTGATCAGGCTGGTGGTGGCTGTAGGTTGGGTGGCTTTGCCTTTTTTTTTTTTAAGACAACAATGAACTTGGCCACATCAGTTGACTCTTCCCTTAACAATTTCTCTGTAGCATACAATGCTGTTTGATAGCATTTTATCCACAGTAGAACTTCTTTCAAAATTGGAATCAGTCCTCTCAAACCCTGCTGCTGCTTTATCAACTAGGTTTGTGTAATATTCTGAATCTTTTGTTGTCATTCCCACAATCCTCACAGCATCTTTACCAGAATCTACTGAACAACCACTTTTTTGTTCATCCATAAGAGGCAACTCCTCATCTGTTAAAGTTTATTATAAGATTGCAGCAATTCAGTCCTGTCTCCCAGCTCCACTTTCTGATTCTAGTTCTCTTGCTGTTCCCACCACGTCCACAGTCAGTTCATCCACTGAAGTCTTGTATCCCTCAAAGTCATCCAGAAGGATTGGATTCAACTACTTCTAAAACTCTCGTGAATGTTGATATTTCCACGTCTTCCTATGATTCATGAATGTTCTTAATGGCATTTGGAATGGTGGAATCTTTGGAGAGGGTTTTCACTTTACTTTGCCCAGATCCATCAGAGGAATCACTATCTATGGCAGCTACAGCCTTACAAAATGTATTCCTTAAATAATACAACTGGAAAGTCGAAATTGCTCCTTAATCCATGGGCTGCAGAATGGATGTTGTGTTAGTAGGCATGAAAACAACATTAATCTCATTGCCATTTCAGTCAGAACACGGGTGATCAGGTGCATTGTCAATAAGCAGTAATATTTGAAAGGCATTTTTTTCCTCTGAGCTCAACAGTGGGCTTAACATAATCAATAAATCAACCATGTTGTAGACAGATGTGCTGTTTTCCAGGCTTTGTTGTTCCAGTTCTAGAACACAGGCAGAATAGATCTAGCATAATTCTTAAGGGCCCTAGGATTTTCAGAATGGCCAGTGAGCACTGGCTCCAACTTAGTCACCAGCTGCATTAGCCCCTGGCAAGAAAGGCAGCCTGTCCTTTGAAGCTTTGAAGCCAGGC